GCACTTTTTACAGATTTTTTACTTTTCGGAGTGGCTTTCTGTTTAGGTTTCTCCTTTTTAGATGTCTTTTTTGGTGGCTCCTCTTCACTTTCTTCATCTTCGTCATCTGAAGACTCTTCCTTGGTTTTCTTTTCATCTTCATCACTGCTAGATTCATCTGACGGAATTTCAGGAAATTAGGTTCGTTTAGTTTTCCTTGCCATTCCAGAACTGTTCCGTTCCATTTTTTTTTTTACACAGTAAGTAAACAGTATTTAATTTGCAGAAATATTACTTAACGACATGTATCTTTCTTAGCACCACATAGTATAGTACTCTTTACTCTAGTTTTTTTCTTTTTCTTTATATAAGTGTTATTTTATTTTATTTTTTTAAATAATAAATTTTATTTTTATATTCCCCATACAATTGCAACCCCCCCATTCTGACCCCAATCCCTCCCCTCCCGCCCCCCCCCCCTGTTCTGTTCCTTTTTGTTGCTTTTGCTAGAAGTTTTTTTTTAGATTTTGGTAATGGTTTGCCAGAAGGCTTTGGATGCATTAAGAAATTCAAGATCTTCTTCACCAATTCACTATTTACACCTGATCGCTCCAAATCAAGAACTTCGCAGATGCTCTTTAACATGGCATTTCTAAATTTTTTCAACATTTCTTCCTTCTTTTTATACTGGATACTTCCTTTTTCAAATGGAAAGCCACTGAACTGACCCACATTCTTCTTTAATGAGGACATTGTGCCGGGTCTGCTGTAAAGCAGTTTATGCAGATTTCTAAGTTCATCTGTTTTCTTTTTACTGAGAGAGAAATGTATCCTTTCAATTTCACAAAGTTTTTGCCCCTTTCCTTGTGCAATTGTAAATGGCTCTCTTCGTAAAGAAGAGACTTGCATTGTCAACCTTTCTACTTTCTTCTTTTCCCTCTTGCCTTCCACAATGAGACTCTTTTCTTTTCCTTCCTCCTCGTCGTCCTCACTTTCCGCTTCTGGGTCCGGCATTTCGGGCTCCTTCTCGGACGCGGGCTTCGCGGGGGCGCCCTCGCCCTCGCTGCGGGGCCGGCGGCGGACATGCTGGGGGCCTGCGGGCGGGAGGAAGTCAGCCGTCCGGGGCCTCGCGCCGGGCGGGCGGGCGGGACGGGGCGCCCCCCCACCCTACCCCCACCCCCCGGGACTCGGCGGACACCCCCGGGCCCGGGGCGCGGCGGGAAACCCCACCTCACGCCTGTTTCCTCCCGGCGGCCCCGGCCCGGCGCCCCGCCGCTCCGCGCGCCGTCCTTACCAATCTTCTTTTATACTTAGTGATTTTGTTGTCCTATTAATTATTTGTCTACCTCAAGATATAGAAGATACTTTTCTATGCTTTCTTCTAGAAGTTTTTATAGTTTTAGCTTTCATTTTAGAATCTATTTTCTATTCTGGGCCTCCCCTGGTGGCGCAGCTGCCCGCAGCCTCTGCAGCGCCGGTTCGATCCCCGGCTGCCCCCCCCCCGCCGCAGCCCCCGCCGCACCCCCCGCCCCGCCGCAACCCCCGCCCCGCCGCACCCCCCCCCGCCGCACCCCCCCCCCCGCCGCACCCCCCCCCCCCGCCGCACCCTCTCCCCCGCCGCACCCCCCGCCCCCCACCGGCGCAGACCTCTCCTGCCGCCCGCTGCTCCCCTCAGCAGTGTACTTCGGTCTTTCTGCCTGTTCTGCTGCCCGCTCTGGCTCTGGTGAATTCTCTCACCCTCCCGCGCTTCTGACTGTACCCAGTGCATGTATAAATAAATAAATAAATCTTTAAAAAAAAATCTATTTTCTATTCTGAAGTAATCTTGACATCTAAGGGACATGTCAAAGTTTATTTTTTTCTGATGGATATTCAATTGACTCAAAACTGTATTAAAAAGACTATATGTGTGGGTCAATTTTAGACTATTGTATTCTTTTGATTCTTTTTATATTCTTGCAATAATGGCGTATTGCTTTAAGTTCTGAAGGTTTGTATTCAGTCTTGATATTGGGTAGTAAAAGTGTCCTAACCTTGTTGATATTCAAGATTGCATTCACTATCTTAGGTCCTTTACATTTCCATACAAATTTTAGAATTAACTTGCTCATTTCTAAAAAAAATTGCAAGGATTTTTATTAGGATTCTAATAACTATGCAGATTAAGAAGAATTGATATCTTAATGATATTGTGTTCTAATAAAAGGTATAATACATTCCTCCATCTACTTAGCTCTTTCATTTTTTTCTCAGGATTTCTTTGTTGCATTACATCTATATAGGTCTTAAACATTTCTTGTTGAATTTATTTCTAAATATTTGATATCTTTTTAAAAAATTGTATATTTTTTCAATGGTAAAGTACTTTAATACAATTGGTGTGTAATATAGAGAAGAGAAAGAGAAAGAATATAGTTTCCAAATCAAGCACCCAAAATCCCTTGTGGGTAAATGCTCAGCCAAATGGGATTGGCCCAAAACAGGACCATTGAGCCCCAAAAACTTGTCAAAAATTTAACGCACCTTCTGGTGGGGACCCACAGGAAAGGGCAGAAGGGGCCAGGCAAGTCTAGAAGGAAATAAATATTTGATATCTTTGTGCTGTTCTAAACAGTATTATTTTCAATTTCTACTTGTTTGTACTAATATAAATACAAATGAGTTCCTAATATTGACCTTATTTCCAGCAATTTATCAAACTGACTTATTCAAATAAGTTTTTTCTTTCTTTTTTTTTTTTTTTAAGATTTATTTATTTATTTATTTATACAAGCACTGGGTACAGTCAGAGGCATGGGAGGGTGAGAGAATTCACCAGAGCCAGAGCGGAGAGTAGAACAGACAGAGTGACGAAGTGCACTGCTGAGGGGAGCAGCGGGCAGCAGGAGAGGTCTGAGGGCCATGTGGGACCCTCGCCTGGTGGCCGGGGATGGAACCGGCGCTGCAGAGGCTGCAGACAGCTTCGCAACGCCGCGCTCAACTTCTGCGCCACCAGGGAGGCCCTCAAGTAAGTTTTCACATATTCCTCTGGGTCTCCTATTCATACAATTATATCATTTGTGAATAATGGTAGTTTATTTAATCATTTCCAATTTTTATCTGTGTCACTTAATTTTCTTGCTTTGTTGAACTAGCCATGATAACTAGTTCAGTGGTGACTAAAAGAGGTGACTACAGAGTTTTTTTCTTGTTCCTAAACTCAGGGTGAAACATTCTATTTTTTATCACTGAATATGTTTTTAATTTTAGGTTTTCGGTAGATATTGTCATATTTAGAAAGTTACCTTCATTCCTTTTGGTTGAAAAAAGTCATGAATGTTTTCGATTTTATTTTCTATTTTTCAATTGTATCAATATTATTTTTATTGAGCTTATGTGTCTAAAAATTTTAGAAATAATTAGTGTTTTGATTGATTTATTTTCTTCCATCTATAGTTTATATTTACCTCTAGTTCATATCCAGGTTAGAAATACTAGCATTTCTAGACATTCTGATCCAATTCAGGTTGAAATAATGATTCTTCAGGACCCTGGTTGGGTCTCAGTGAGGACTCAGTAAAGAATGAATAATTGATGATGATAGTGTATGTCCTTTTTTTGTAGTTTTGGTAATTACTTTTTTATTTATCTTTGTTCTCAGGATAATGCTTAGTAGATTGACGTGTTTTGGTATATACAGTGCTAGGACAGTGGGAGACAAAGACACAGAAATTCACGCTATAGTCTCTGTCTTTGGTTGGTAATGAATGGCAAAGCCAGTTTAAGTCAAAGGAATATGAGTAGGAACCCCATGTGTTTTACTCCTAGGACTGCCAAGATCAAGGAAACAGATTCTATTGACCAAAGAGTGATTATGGATCCTTTAATTATTCACTCATTCTCTGGAGGAAAATATCAGGGTGAAGTGTTTGGAAGAAGTGCACTTATAATGCACATGGACATCTGAAACACCCTCTCTCCATCACACTGCTGTCAGTGTCCTCCCTTTGAACACCTCTGTTTGCGTAACTACCCCATCTCCTATTCTTTCCTCTAAATTCTCCACAATCTTCCCAACGCACCCACAGACGTTTTCATTTCCTGCATCCATTGGACCACAGTGACTTTTATTTTGCTTCATCTCTACAGTGGACTGCTCTTGGGTGCAACAACTCTGTCATATCTCGCATTTATTAGCTCCCATCATAGTCCTTAGAGAGGAAAGTGCTGGTTTATGTCTACTGGTATAGTTTTATTTTTCTCTTTCTAGTTATTTTCTAGGGACAAATCATTTTGGATACTTCCTAATGACTAAAAGTCAGCAAACATTAATGAGTGATGACCACCATCAGATGTGCCAAGCGCCACAGGAAGGGTACTATGAGTCTAGCTTTACGGGAGGGTGAGGAGGGACCACAAGTTGAGCTGGCAGGGCCAGTCTTACTGGGTCTGACCAGGTTTCTCGTGGCCACCACTGGTCACTAGCGGTGGGCTCAGCACTGCAGGGAGGGAGTCACATCAGACATGGTGTTGATAACATCATGATGAAGAATTCATCCTCTGAGATCAAATTGACTGGATTTTAAGCTCATCTTTTCCACTGTGTAACTTGAACTACTCACTAAATCCTTTCTAACTCAGTTTCCTCACTTCTAAAATGGGTATAAGACTCTCATGGGGCCATCATGAAGTGAAATATGTTAAAACATGTAAAGTATTTAGAACTTGCCTCCCCCATTGGGAGTACTCAATATTTTAGATTTTATCACTGGTTTGTGGGCTTCTTCAGACTAGGAGTACTGAGCCTGTACAGGAGGGGACAGATGTATACTTTTGGGTTCTCTGAGGTTCTAGGGGTCTTCATAATATGCCCCAAACTCTTGGCTTAAGGGAGTCACATCAACTGCCCACAGTGTGCAGGCTTGACACGCTTCCTGGCACCTCTAACAGGGTTCTCTTTCCTAGAATGTCCAAAGTCTGAGACCCACAACGTGGTTGGATTCTCAGGAGAGTCTCTCCAGTTGCAGCCCAACTGCACAGAGATGGAGATAAACGTTAGATGGCAGATTCGCTGGCCACATCAAGACTGGAGAGTTATACTGACTTCGAGAAATAAAACCCTGCAATATTATGACACTTCCAAACATTTCAACAGTAGACTTGATTTTAGGCCTGAGGGCTTTGCTCTTCTCATCAACAAGACGCAGAAGCAGGACACTGGCCTCTACCAACTGGAACTCACCTCAAGAAATGGGGATAAGAAGAACATTGAGTTCCAGGTTTCCATATTCGGTGAGTTCCCTGGCAGCCTGCTCTGTCCCTCTGACTCCCTCAGGGTTTGTATGTCCATGTCTTTCTGACTAGAATCTCTGCTTACAGACAAGGTGGAGAAGCCCCAGCTGCAGGGCCAGACAGAGATCCTGCCTGGAGGGAAGTGCCGAGTGTTTCTGAACTGCTTGGTTTCCGGGGCTGACAACGTGAACTTTACTTGGCATAGCGGGAGAGAGCAGATCCAGGGGTGGAAAAAACAGACCTACCAGGAGGAGGTGGCTATCAACAGCTCGCTGGTGTATACTTGCAATGTCAGCAATGCAGTCAGCTGGGCAACCAGCACCCTCAACCTCACGCAAGACTGTCTGAGTAAGCGGAGACCCAAGAACTCTACCGGGGTGGAGGAGTTGGAGCACAAACCAGGCTTGTGAGCAAGAGCCTTGGGTGTGATGTCCCTTGGCTGCCTCCCCCAGGGCCTTGTAGCCTTTCCTGGGGGTTCCTGGCCTCTCAGCACACAGTTCCTATAAAGCCTGGCCTGTTAGGAAGAATGTGAGTCTATATAGATGTCCTGGGAGCTGTGCTTTCCCTTCTCACAGCGTGTTGGTGAGCTACGGCCCTGCCATGGCCCTCTGAGACACCTGCTTCTTCCTCTGAGTGACAGCTCCCCAAGCCAGGTAGCTCCCCAAGCCAGGTAGCTCCCCAAGCCAGGCAGGCTCCCCACATAGCAGTTCATAGGAGAATCAGGATAATCACAGGGAAATCTAGGAGAGTCCTGATTTATTGTATCCCATCCTGACGGCTACCCTGAGCTGTGTTTCTACCACTTTTTATTAGATAAGCAAAGAATTCATGCGCCACCAACATGGGCATTACAGGGACATTCCTGTCCTTAAAGGTCCAACAGCCAAATGGGGGAAGCAAACTTAGTAATATGAGAAAAATGAAGCAAACAAGCGGAAGCCATATGGAGTGACAAGGACACTGATTCAGGGGTCACACCAGTCACGGCTTCTCCATTTATTAGCTCTGTGATCCCAGGCTGGCTCATTACCCTCTCTGAACTGCAACTTTTCTTTTGGGGATGATGATAATAAGAACCTCACAACCTATTAAGATTGGGGAGATGTTTGCCGAGAGCCCAGTCAGCCAGCACCTGGACACTGTGCTCTTTCTTCCTCCCCTGTCGGTGGGCTTATGTGTCAGGCCGCCCGGGACCCAATTGCTAAATGTGGAGGTTTACATAAGGAAGAGCAGGGAAGTGAAATGGCAGACTTGCCTGGCATGGTACAAGTACAACACGTGTTTGTTCAGCTAAAACAAGGACCGGATAGATGAGACATTGGCTGTGCCAAGTGCTTTATGCACTATGATCTGGGGATGCCTCCTGGCTTTACAATAACATCATGTCCTTTTTGCAAGTTTGAAGAGAGACTCACAGGCATTAAGGAAGGTGCCCAGGTGCACAGAGCTTAGAGACTGAGAAAGGGATCCACATCTGTCAATACTAACTGCCACGCTCTCAGCATCACCCAAGGGCGGTCACCCAGCTGCGTGGAGAGACAGCCTTGATGGTGAGCTCATAGTGTGTGAGGGGACCGGCACACACAGAAGAACAGCGCGGGTTTGGGGCAGCCTTACTGCAGACAGGTGGGAAGCGGGGAGCGGGCTGAGTGCTAGGCCTTGTGCCTTTCAGATCCCTCAGTATTTGGCTCCCTGCCCCTTCTGATAATCTCCACGGTTGTCCCAGCCATACTTGCCATCCTCTTCGTCATCTTCACTGTCTGCTTCTGTGTGCGGAAGAAGAAGATGAAGCAGTCAGGTAAGTGGATGGTCCAAGCAGGTGCTGCCTCCTGGCCTGACACCGCAGCTCATGGTCTGGCGCTTAGCCTCTGCTTTTCCTGGGAAGGGCTGAGGTGCTTGTGTGCATGGCAGGGGGAGGGGAAGCAGTGGCTGCAGGTCTTTCCGCCCAGCTCCTGCTTTTTGATCCCCAATTTACCTGAGAGGAGTAGGGTGTGGCTGGGTTGGTGGGGGGCTGCCCGCAGAGTAAGAAGTTCAGGTAGTTACTGCTCCTGCGCTTTCTAGTATCCTGGGAAGACAATTGGCTTCCAGGCTGGAGTCTTTCTCCCTCTGGGATGGAGGCGGGATGGTGAGCAGCTGAAGCAGAGGAAGGGTATTCCCTGGCAGTCCTACAGCTCTGTGCTTTGCTTCCTTCCTCTCACAGACACCAGCCAACAGCAACATTTGACACCTTATGAATGTGTGAACTCTGTGCATACCAGGAGAAATCAAGTATGGTGCTTGTGGTGCTGGGGTTTCTCCAACTTGTCTGGAAGAGGGTCTTGGGAGAACAGCCAGATGGGGACAAGAGAGGAGGACCTTCTCAAAGCTATCCTTCGTCTTGCCATCTATCTCCATAGACCACCCTCCCCTCCCCAAGCTCTAGCTGTGGAGGGAAAGAGAAGAAGGGGACGGAGGAGTTGGAAGGAGGCAGAAGGCACATCTGGTGCAGAACAGGGCCTGCCGGGAGTTGGTGGGCGCAGCTGGCATAGCTGGGCTCAGTGGCAGACAGCAGGATGCTGCTTCACCCCAGATGGCACCTGGTGCCCTTGTCTCTACCCAGTCTCACCAGCTGGGCTGATCCCCAAGAAGAGCCCAACCTTGTTGTATTTGGTGTCTGAACATGAGTTTTCATATCCCCATAAGACCAAGCTGACCTTCCAGGGTCCCTCTGCTGGGGAAGGCTACGGGCGTGCCAGCTTGAGCAGCCAGGTGCTGTGGTTCTGTGGCTGTCTCTGTGTCTGTGCTCACAATGCCAGGAGCCAGAGACCAATCTGACTGAGGTGCTAGCGAGTAAACAGGTTGGTGCCAGGTGATATGCCAGATTGGCTCCCCCGAAGCTCTCAGGCCAGCTCTGCCTATCGCCGGGCTGGGGAGGGGCAGCTGCAGAGGGGCCTCAGGGCACCCCCCACTGTTCTGCCCTGAGCAGGGCTGGACATGGTGACAGTCATAGGGAAGGGCCCTGATCTCTCAGTTGACTTGAGTTGCACGGTGGGAAGGGTGGGGGTGGGCAGGAGGATCCCCATCTCCCCCAGACCCATCCCGTCCTGGCGCTTGGCCCGGGGAGGGAGGTGGAAGCCACAGTGGTCACAGTGGCCGGCTCTTCCGCCCATCACATGTGTGAAGCCCCGGGAGACCTCAGAATAGAGAAGCAGCTTCCTTTAGGTCTGGGCTCTGTGGGCAGTCCCCCTTGTTAAAGGGATTACTCTGTTAGCCCTCATCTCTTTCCTCCCCATAGCAGCAGACTTTTGGGGGTGAAAAACAAAAGGAAACTCTTTCCACAATCACTATCAGACTCTGGTACAAGGCTGAGAGCAAGTGAATCTCCCTATAGCCACTGAGCCCAAATGCTTCCTGAAAGCACCCCAGCCCCATGACGACTTTTTAAAAAAAAATATTTTATTTTATATAATTCTTACATCTTTTTTTCATCTTTGCACAATGTATGCATTTTCATTTTGGTTATATTCCCCATACAATTGCACCCCCCCTTATTTTGACTCTAGTTCTTCCTCTCCCCGCCCCTCCCTCCTCCCCCATCCCCCATCCCCCCTGTAGTGTGTCTCTGGTGTCTAGTTGCTTGTTGATTTTGATTTTTACTTTGTATTGATTAGTCTTTTTCCTGGCATCTTATTTGGGTTTTCTAAATTCCTGCTATAAGTGAGACCATCCGGTATTTTTCTTTTTCTCTCTGGCTTATTTCGCTGAGCATGATCCCTTCCAGCGCCATCCATGTTGCTGCAAATTGCATGTGTTTATCTTTTTTGAATGCTGAGTAATATTCCATGGTGTGTATGTACCACATCTTCTTGATCCAGTCATCTATTTTTGGGCATTTGGGTTGTTTCCATAGCTTAGCTGTTGTAAACAGTGCTGCTATAAATGTAGGTGTGCAGGTGTTCTTTGGAATTACTGTTTCTGTGTCACTTGGGTAAATACCTAGGAGTGGAATTGCTGGATCATATGGAAGCTCTATGTTTAGTAGGTCAAGAAATCTCCACACAGCTCTCCATAGTGGTTGGACCAGTTTGCACTCCCACCAGCAGTGCAGGAGAGTTCCTTTTTCTCCACACCCTCGCCAACATTTGTTGTTGCTAGTTTTTTTAATATGTGCCATTCTCACTGGTGTGAGATGGTATCTCATGGTAGTTTTGATTTGCATTTCCCTGATTACAAGTGATGTTGAACATTTTTTCATATGTCTGTTGGCCATTTGCATTTCTTCTTCAGAGAAGTTTCTTTTTAGCTCTTCTGCCCATTTTTTGACTGGATTATTTTCTTTGTTTTTGTTGAGTCTCATCAGCTCTTTGAAGATTTTTGTGATCAGTCCTTTATCTTTAGTGTTATGTGCAAAAATGTTCTCTCAGTCGGTGGGGTTTCTCTTTGTTTTGGTTATTGTCTCTTTTGCTGTGCAGAAGCTCTGCCTTCACTATCACTGCTTTGGGTGACGTGTCTGTAAAGATGTCTTTGATATGCATAACATGTAGTGTTTCACCTATATTTCCTCCTATGTATTTTATGGTTTCAGATCTTATGTCTAGTTCTTTAATCCATTTTGAGTTGGTTTTGTGCATGGTGTTAGGTAGTAGTCAAGCTTCATTCTTTTGCATGTAGCGACCCAGTTTTCCCAGCACCATTTATTGAACAAACTTTCTTTGCTCCAGTGCATATTCTTTGCTCCTTTGTCAAAGATTAGTTGACCATAAATCTGTGGGTTTATTTCTGGATTTTCTATTCTATTTCATTGGTCTGTGTGTCTGTTCTTGTTCCAATACCATGCAGTTTTGATGATTATGGCATTGTAGTATAGTTTGAATTCTGGGAGTGTGATGCCTCCATTCCCTTCTTTTTTTTCAGGAGAACTTTGGCTATTTGGGGTTTTTGGTGCTTCCATATGAATTTCATCAATAATTGTTTTATCTCTTTGAAGAATGTCATTGAAATTTTTTTATTAATAAATTTTATTTTTATATTCCCCATACAATTACAACCCCATTATTTTGACCCCAATCCCTTCTTTCCCCGCCCTCACCCCCCATAGAGAGTCTCTGGTTCATAGTTGTTTGTTGATTTTGATATTTTTTTCTTATAGTTATTCTTTTTCCTGGTCCCTTATTTAAGTTTTCTAGATTCCTGATATGAGTGAGACCATTCGGTATTTTTCTTTTTCTTTCTGGCTTATTTCGCTGAGCATGATCCCTTCTAGCTCCATCCATGTTGCTGCAAATTGCATATGTTTATCTTTTTTGATTGCTGAGTAATATTCCATTGTGTGTATATACCACATCTTCTTGATCCAGTCATCTATTTTTGGGCATTTGGGTTGTTTCCAAAGCTTAGCTATTGTAAATAGTGCTGCTATAAACATAGGCATGCAGGGGCCCTTTGGAATTGATGTTTCTGTGTCATTTGGGTAAATACCTAGGAGAGGAATTGCTGGATCATATGGAAGCTCTATGTTTAGTAGGTCCAGAAATCTCTACACAGCTCTCCATAGTGGTTGGACCAGTTTGCACTCCCACCAACAGTGCAGGAGAGTTCCTTTTTCTCCACACCCTCACCAACATTTGTTGTTGCTAGTTTTTTTAATATGTGCCATTCTCACTGGTGTGAGATGGTATCTCATGGTAGTTTTGATTTGCATTTCCCTGATTACAAGTGATGTTGAACATTTTTTCATATGTCTGTTGGCCATTTGCATTTCCTCTTCAGAGAAGTTTCTTTTTAGCTCTTCTGCCCATTTTTTGACTGGATTATTTTCTTTGTTTTTGTTGAGTCTCATCGGCTCTTTGTAGATTTTTGTGATCAGTCCTTTATCTTTAGTGTTATGTGCAAAAATGTTCTCTCAGTCGGTGGGGCTTCTCTTTGTTTTGGTTATTGTCTGTTTTGCTGTGCTACTGGTTTTGGGGTTTTTTTGTTGTTTTTTTTCTAGATCTTTGAGCTTCGAGATTAGGTTCTTTCTTTGAGTTCTTTCTTGTTTCTTGATGTGAGCCTCTATTGCTATATATTTTCCTCTTATTACTGCTTTTGCTGCATCCCATACATTTAGGAAATTGGCGTCCTCTTTGTCATTCAATTCAAAGAATTTTTTAATTTCTTCTTTGACCTCCTCATTAGTCCAGTGGTCTTCCAGTAGTGCGGGTTTCACCCATGACAACTCTTTTTGATTTGGTAAATAGAGGAGAATATAGAGAAAAATATCTATATTTAGAGCAACAGAATTCTCTTGGGGATTCAATCTGCTTTTGACTTTGGGGTGCCCCCTCACAGCCTCATCCCCCACCCCTGGTCTCTGCCTGCTATCTCCATGGTTCCCTTTGAAGGCTTAAATTTCAAGCCTCACATGGTCTCACTTTGGACCCAGCCTTGATCTTTCTGGAGAAACTTCGCTCATGACTGGACAGGAGAGAAAAGCTACAGACTCCTGCTTCTTGACAGATGCTCATGACTCTCCAATGTCCAAGGATGCCAGGCCTTTCTCTGTTCCTCTTTATCTCTTTTTTGCTTTTGGGAGCTCAGTTTCTACCCGGCTGGACTCCACTGGCTCCTCCGACCAAGCCAACAGAGCCCTTTCCTGTGGTCAAGGTTAGGGTGGAGAGGCAGGAAGGGCATGTGCTCCTGCCTTTGGCCTTGCGTTCTGGGCTCTGCTCTGCACCACAGCTGCCCAGGGGTTGGCTTGAGGCTGACGACCAGCTGGCTCCTGAGGCCAGCTTTAAAGTGTTTAAAGTCTCTGAATGTCGGTGCCATGAGTTAAGGCTCAGTTCTCAGCCCATTATGAGTGATTAGGTGGTGCACGTAGCCCAGTAGTCAGCAAAGCAAGTGTCTAAGTTACCAAAGAGCAAGTGATGGGAGTCCCTGTGGGTGGGTCATGCCTGGGGAGCTTCTGCTATGGTGAGTTGGTTCTTTCTAGTGTCTCTCATCCTAGTGACCAGTGACCTCCTCCCTCTCTGCTTCTGGGAGTCTCTCTAGCTCTTGCTGTCTCTCCCCACTCTGTCCAAGCCTGGGTAGGCACAGCTGTTGGAGCCTGTTGCCTCACATCCCTTTATTATTTCTCATGCAGAATCCAGAGCAGAGTCCTCCTGAAGATAGGAGCACCGTCTACTCAGTGGTCCAGCTCCAGGTACCTCTCAGGTTTCTCTCACCCATCCCATTCCTGTTTCTGGGGCTTCCATATGCACCCCAGAAACACATAACTTAAAGGTCCTGGTTGCTCCTGCAGTCTAGAGGGTGGCTTGGCTGCAGCTACTCTTAGTTGTTTGAAAAAGTCAGTATAGTTCTGGACTCACATTCCTGCTGAACAGAGCAGGAAAGTCGGGGGGCAGGCACCGTCCCCTTCCAGTCGGGCAGTGAGGCCAGGACAAGCTGTTGAAGGAGGAGATTTGCCGGGTACTCAACCTCTGTCCCTTCCCTGCTGCTTCCAGTCCAGGGGAACCTTGTGCTCTTATCCCCACACCCTATTATAATTGTTTTCAGAAAAGAATGGATCTGTGAGTCCTCTTACCTTACGGTGACCTAATGATAACACAGATGAAGTACTTATGTCCATTTTCTCAGTAAATCTCATATAACTGCTTCGAGTAGGTCCAAGAGAAACCCCACTTCACAATGAGCAAGCAGACTCAGAAGTGCTTGTGCTCCAGGTCACAGAACTGGGAGCTGGGAGAGCTGAGTACAGTGATCTTCTCTCCTCTTTCCCCACCAATCTCTAACATTCTGGGATTACAGAAATTCTCCCATGAACTGGAGAAGCTTCCTCTAGCACTGATGGCTAAGATGACAGTGTCGATGACTCAGGGTGAGACAGTTCTAAGGAAAATCTGTCTCCTGCTGTCCAGGGATGAAATTTTCCACAGAAATGACTTAAAACAAAACAAAACAAGAAAAGAATGATCAGCCACTTCAGCTTAGTGGTTGAACTGTGGGGCAAGAATATCCTTGGGGAAGAGTGATAGGCTTCAGAGAAAGATCAAGAAAAGGAGGAAGAGGTTGGCGCAAGGGCTTAAGACTCACCTATAAATCAATCTGCAGCCACTGCAGCACAAGTTCGATCCCCGGCCAGGGAGGTGACCCACATGGTGCAGCAGACCTCTCCTCTCTCATCCGCTGCTCCCCTCAGCAGTGTCTTTCAGTCAGTCTGCCTGTTCTGTTCCCTGCTCTGTCTCTGGTGAATCCTCTTACCCCCTGCATCCTGGCCCATTCCCCAGCTCTAGCTCTTGTATGCATAAATAAATAAATAAATAAATCTTTAAAAAAAAAAAGGAGCAGGAGGAGAAAGGAAGGGGAAGAGAAGAGAGAGGAAAGGTTGGGAAGGGAGGGAAGGCT